CACACACACACACACACACACACACACACACACACACACACACACACCTTGTTACAGCATTAAAAGAGTCTGTAACGACAGTGGCTCATTAATATGCTTCCGAGTAAAGAACAATGGAGCACCTCACAGTCTGAGTCAACGTCAAAAGCCCTTTTCTACATGTGAATGCACCAAATAAGTTGAAGGGCTGTAATTGATCACAAAAGTTTTGATTTGTTATGTCTGCATTCATATAACAACACATTACCAGTAGAGTGTAGATAACAAGTGCCCTTCAATGTGCATCACAATCACATTTTTAAGTAATGCTAGCATTTCAGTTGATAAAAACGTACGTGTGATTCCATTATTAAAGCAGTTTCTCAGCAGCATACACGAAAATATAGACAGCTCTCTACAACATAACAACAACCAGACGAGATGACAGTAACTGAAGACAGCAGCTAATCAACAAGAGCGCTGCAAAAAAAACATGCTGAACTCCTAAAGAGTCACCACACATACGGAGTCGAGTGCCTTTCAGTAAGCCATGTCATACACTATATCAGTGTATTGTTACACCCCTAGCAAATTGGCCAGGGATGAATGGACAGTAACCAACCCTGCATAAGAACTGGTTTAACTTCTCTAGTGCCAAAATAAACACACTGATATGCAAAAGAAACAGTGTCACTGATAAACTTTACTAAGAGGCTGATGAGCTAATAAGCACGTAGAAAGGAAAGGACAGAAAGGAAGACACAGATGGACTGAATCAGAAAACACTGCAGTGATACTCCAATTCACCCCCCAACTTCTTAGAAGTCTCTCAAGGTCTGTTTTAAATAAATAAAGTATCACTTACCCCAGATGGGCAGGTCATCTATGTACATCTGGTACCAGTAGTGATTCTTTATGGCATAGACAAAGGCATCCCGTTTGGCTTTATCCAGGTCAATTTCACAGTATGTTGTCTGCATGACTTCATCTGCAGGGATCATAAATAAACACGTTTTTTTTAATGTTAGACAGTGACGTGTGGGAAAACAATAACAGATGCAGAGACGAGTGACAAATTATAATTTCAATGCTGCTATCAGCTCACATGTACTCAACAAGTGAAGGTCCGAACAGAAGGTTACCTTTGAACTTGATGTCGAGGCCGCTGAATTCAAGCTCCACTCCTTGCAGAGCCTCTCCTAGTGTTTCATGGTAATGACTGATGGTCTTCTTGGAGCCCGCGCAGAAGGGCAAAGAGAAGTACTTGTACGTCTCCTGTCGGTTGTGGTAAGGCCCCACTGTGTTCATCCATAAAACTACCTCCTCCTTATCTGTGTACTGCAAGTGGGGGGGAAGAATGTGAAATCCGGGAAAGCAAAACCAGTTCTTCTAGTCCTGCTGGGTTCATATTCTAGCCATTGGACAGTTACTTAAAAATAACTGGCAATACATGTTCACCCTCCTATTACTAACTAAACAGCTAACGTTACAGATGCATTTGATTGAGACACGGGTTAAATGAAGATGACTTATCATCACATTTACACTGAAACTAATCAGCCACTACATTCAAATCCATGCAAATACAAAAAATGTACGCCATCACACTATAAAATGTGGTGTAACCTACGTAACCCTTGTTTGCTTACATGCAAAGAAGTTCAATTCAATATCATTTTCCACTACGTTAACACCCGAGTCAGCTGCACTATGCGAAGAAGACAATGTAATACACCTTATTAACTTGTTAATCATCTGTAACTAGGGCACCAGAGTCTGATAAAAGCGAGCAGACAGAAGAAATACCGAGAGGCCCCGACATTTAACCGGTACTTCTGCATAATGTAACGTTGGCTGGTGTGACGTTAACCACCACCGCAGTCATCACTTAAAGAACATCCCGTTTATCTGGATTGACTACAAATTCATTACGAAAGTAGTTTTAAATTTGTTGAACAACTAACTAACGCTAGCTAGCTAGCCTGACTTGAGCGCAGTAGTTTCGGCTGGTGCTCAAGGAAAGCTTGTGAAGACCAGTGTGAAAGACAGGCTAACAGGCTAACAGGCTAACAACGTTAGCCATAAGCACTTAGGCCGATAAGTGGTGACAAGTTAGCACGCAAAATGAATGCTTATCTGTTAAATAGTTCACCAAGTATCGATAAACAACCCAACGGACCGAGCCATGCACTATGTCGTGACTGTAATGCTGTTTTCTTGAGTGCAGCTAGCCGTCGCAGCTACAGCTAGCATGTCACGCCGAGCACAAACGTCCATTATTTTCAAGGCTCTCTTTTCAATCGGCCTCTCATAGCGCCGTCTTACCGTGTGTTCATGCTCATCTGCGTCGACAGGTAATAAAGAGCCCACTAGAGCGAGAAAAGCAGCCGCTGCTACCTTCCACCTGGAAGAGCCCATTATTTTTCGGAGAAAGTATACAGAAAGATTGGGGATGTTAGCTTTGTACGGCTATCCCACCTTCTTCCTGGTTGTATGACAGAGGCAATTTTAGGGATGCTCTCGTACGCATATGGCGTAAGCGCTTCACGAGCGCACATCGCACGCACATTGGATTGGCCGACTCGAGTCACATGACTCCCATCCTCCAGTCACAGGGGAACGGGATGGATCAGACGGTGAATAAAGAAACTCTGTCGGCGCATCGTCCGCAACCTTCAGCCACGTCATCCGACTGCCAAAACCGGAGCTTCAGCTCACCTTTGGCAAACCTGGTGGATGCAACATGGCCTCGTAATGGGCCTGAAGTTGTCTGAACAGTATCTCACTTTCCATGCATTGACGTGCAGTTTAAAGCATTCACATCTGTTTGGATTGCATGTCCATGCTCCTCTGAGGACAGTGCAGCTCTCTTGATACCACAGGTTAAGACCTTCATATTAATGAATGGATTATTGACAACACATCATATAAATATCTACCATGGGAACATTTGCAGGCTTCACCTTGTAAGTCATTAATAAAGTTGGTTGTACTTCTCTTATCAGAACCACAACACCAAAGTATAATATAAAGAGCTACATTTTAACAATGCTCCATCTACAGCAGTGGTTCAAAGGTAACCCAACTGTATTTGTCTATCTGCGAATGTGGGACAACTGTGGTCAAACATCGTCTTCAAAAGGAGACAGATCCAGCTTCCTTGACTGTTAGTGTTTACACATGCTCTTGAGTTTTAAAAATGTCACTTAACATCTAAACAAATGAGATACATAATTGAAGTTTTATTTCTAAAGAGATTTTAATTCATCAAAGAAAAACAATCTATATAATATCAGTAGAATAATCAAGTACATTTAGAAGAACAGGGACATTTGTAACTACTCTTTAGTCACTATGGCTTCCTTGGTTATAGAAGAACCCTAGTGGATGAACAGTTTCTTCAAGGCAACTTTAAACGGTGCTGTGTGTACCTGAATTAATCCTCGTCAATGCATTGTGACTTTATGAAAGGTAAAGATGAGTTATACCAACTCTGCAGTTCTTTCTAATGAGACCAGTATTTTAATGTCTGTTATCTTGGAACAAAAGCGAAAGACCGACAGACCAACACTTCCTGTGCTGGTTGACACAAGAAGTCAAATTTATGTATACCAAATTTATTGTAATTTAACAGCAATGACACTTGAACTGAGATTCCTACACACATCTGAATGCACAATGCAGCGCTGTAGACTTTGTGGTTAAAATATTTTTTTTCTAAAACCACAGATATTTCCCAGCTGCTGACACAGAGACATCTTAAGCCTTGGATTACCAAACTCATTATTCAGTATTATAGATGAGCATTATCACCACACAACAAAGCCCAGTAGAGGGCACCTACTGCAACAATGGCTCACTCAAATCACATTTCCAAAGGGAATTGCTATTTCTTGTTCTGATAATTGAGAATAAAGCACTTACAATAATCATTTTGCCTGATCAACTTTTGCATTGATTCGTAAATGATGGCCTTTTTCAATTTCCACAGACAGATGACAGCATAAAGACAGACTGATCACAGTGCGACATTGCAGCCACAGGGCATGCACTGTAACCATTCGGCTACCGATGTGCTCCAAACATAACATGGTTAGACACAAAGATTTTTGATTCATAAAAATATTTCTATTTAGAGTAAATCACACATTTAAGCAACATATATGCAGTCGTAAAGACAAAGCAAAACATTTGAATGTAGCGTGTGATCACATGAAACCAAATGATGAAGTCTGGCATGGGGTTTTTCTTCTTCAGTCGTCTTTCCAACATTATAAGGACAGCACAAACTTCCTGCAGAGGAGACATGATGAGACATACACGCTGTAGAAATAAAATAGATACGTGTTTTGCCAAGCATATAATCGTTTTAAGCGTTATAAGTGAAATGTTTTCTCACTTTATGATGTCAGGCAGATGGGAGTCACGATATAAGCCGTTGTGCAGATACCCCAGAGAACCGTCAAATGACACCAGCTTGACTCGCTCGGCATTCTGGGCACTCACTGCTACCTCATGCATCTGGGAGAGAAAAGCAAAAACATTTATACAGAAAAATACCACCTCAGTGTACATTGTATTAGATGAAAAGTAGCTTTCTGTGCCAGTAATACCTGCTGAGCAATTGCAATGTGAACTAAGTGATCGTCCTCTGCATGAAGGAACAGGATTGGGCATCTCATTTTCTTTAAACTGCAGAATAAGAAAAATACATAATAAGTCATCGCATTTTACAAGTAATAACTGTTAACATGCTTATATTTTCATACTGGTTGCATTATATTCAAGTTACTAAATATAACTGTGTATATATGTATATATTATGAGATTTTATACATTGGAAGGAAGTAGGGCTCTTATTGTGAAAGAAACAGGAAGTGCACGAAATGTGTAGTGAACAATGGCTGCCGTCGATAAAGAAGCTATTGATTAACTTTAAAAGTTGTCTTCTAGTCAGGTAAAAACAAAATGAATAGCTGGTTAATGTTTGATGAATCATTAAATATGAAACTGTTTTGTATCAGCAGCATGTTAAGAGTTTCATGAAAACTTACTTTTCTTCAGTAGGAAAGACAACCTTGTTTTCTGCCCATGGCTCTGGGAAAAAGTACCCAACGCCCGGGAACTTCCAGTAATACTTTCAACAGAAAGGAAATAAAACATCGAAAGGTTCTGAGTGATGAAGTAGCAGCCACATGAAATGAATAAACCAAATATCAAAAGTGACAAGTCAGTTTACCCAGCTAAAAGGATGGACTGGTATCTGCTGTCGAGCACTATTGAATGCACCCTCCAGCATCACACCATCAACATGCTCACCTGAAAACAAGAGAAAATAAGTCATCCTACTGAGACGTTGCAATTCTTTCCTCTTATTTCTATTTGCCAAAATGTACTGGTAGCAAAACCTACCTCGCTCACTCAGTTTGACTGCAGTGTTCGTGCCCACTCTGCACAGAAAATCATATTTAGAAGTAACAGTTTCCTCTTTATATTCCTGAAGGTAACGGGTTTATTGTAGCTGTGGGCTAATTTCAATCATCTCTGTCATAAACGTAGGCCTGCCATGTCAACTAAATAAATGGTTATGTATTTAGCACTGCGCTGATTTCCAGTTGATGCAGTTTGTGTTCCTGAGTGTGGAGCTCTTGCTCCGGCAAAAGTGTAAGTGTTGCAGGCTATTACATCAAGGTTTAAAGCTTCATATTTCCGTGGGAGCATGCAATGCACATCCAAAGCAGATATTACAACAGGGACAGGAATCATTTCTACTTCTCAAATGCTGTAGATTGGGAGTCTTCCGTTACTCACCCGGTGCCAAGAGAGTGTCCCCAGATGATGACCAGGCTGCTACCGCTGCGTGCTTTGACCCAGTTGTATAAGTAGAGGGCATCAGTCGTCAGACCGGTTTCAGTCGGCTCCCCAGTGGAATCTCCAAACCCTGCCAGAGTTTCTCGCATCAGGTACCACTCACTAACAGATCATAGAGATCCTCTTCATGGCCACCAGGTGGCAGCCACTCAGAGGTAAAAACCTGCACTAGACACTGACCTTAAATTGAACCACTGTCTTTTGACCCGCCTTACAACAATCCACTCATTCAGCACAAGTGCATTACTCTACACGGAGCTTATGCCTCCAGATTATATCAAATCAATGAGAGAAGGTCGTGTACCACAATCAATAAGAAGGCAAAGAAGCGTAGCGATGGAATAATACATTTAGAAGAGGAGACATAAATCTTCATTTTCACCAACCTCTGTAGTCAGGCACCAGCACGTGGTAACCCAGTGCACTCAATACCTGTTGACACACAACGCTTTTCTGTCATCAGAGTGGCTATTGAGACTTGCATATCTTTATTAGACCTTCAAAAGATGAATATGCTTGTGGTGGTGATCACTCACTTTTGCCACTCCCACCCGATGAGTTGCTGCCCTGTTAAAAGGATTCAAGGTAACACAGGTGCCTTAAAATAGCAAACCCAGATATGTCGAGCTGCGTGGAACTTTTACACTCTGCTTCTTCAGGGGAGCAAATTATAATACAAGTTTATTTTTGCATTATTTATCATACCTTGTGCCTGTGTTCCCGTGAAGATATATGAAGACTGGACTTCCATCCCTCAAGGTGTTCTGGTACCATGCCAAGTCCTTCCCCTGAGCCTCTTTCCGCTGTCTGTCAGGAACGGTGTGCCTTGAAGAGTTCAGAACAGTACATCCGCTTACAGACACAACCAATCGCTGGATCATCACACAGAAAGTCTTCGCTTTTTTATATCGACTTTAGAAAAAGAAAGAAAAATTCTTGGCTTATACTCACCACACCCCAAGAGAGATTCCTTCCTCTGATGTTAAGTACATGTTGATGGTGTGATTAAGGGAGAGATCAGCAGGTCGGCTCAGGTCAACAAAGAAAGGTACCCTGACTACCAACAGGGAGAGAAGAGAGGCGGGCCCCGTTTGTGTGAGTAACTTGAAGATTTAGAGAACTTCCCAGAGGCAGAGAGGGAATTCACTTACTTCTGTGAGAGTAAACAAGGTGCTGGATTAATTCCGGGAGTTTCTTCTGCAAGAATGGCACCAGAAATAAGACAACAACGATGGCCAATACTCCTCTTTTCAGCCACCGCCTGGAGCTGAGAACAGAGAGAGAAATAACATCAATGTGACTACTGAACATCTGACCATTATCTCACGTACTTTGTGTCAGTAAAGGCAGATGACCCTCCAGGTTGTCTCCAACTAACTCAAATACTTATTGTGCTGTAGCCAAATTATAATTTGACATTATTATTGGTTATTGGTGATTTTGAATTCCCTCCTTGAAGACAGATCAGCTCCCACTCTCTGATCAACACACATCCAGTCTGAAGTGTCACAACACCGAATCAGCTTCACTCTCCTCTTCATCCACTTTACATCTGGCTTGAGCTGCAACTCTGCCCCATCGAGGAGAGTTGTGAGCTGGTGCTGGAGGTGGAAATCACAAATCGCTTTACTGATTCGAACAAGAATTCAGTCTCAGAGTCATAGTCCCTGACTGACTGACTGCAGTTCCCTCATTGTTGCGCTACAGTGTGTCCACCAGTGAGTGAACACAGCACCGCTCAAAACAACAGATGTACACGGGAATGTGCGCTCAAGCCAGTTGGCATGTACAGAGCCAGTCCGCACATGTCCAACCAGTCTGTGGTTGCAGCATTAATGTGGGAGAGAAGAACTGGATGGTCTAATCGAGAGGGCAGGCTGTCATTGGAGTCAGGCTTTACTCCCTAGAGGCAACAGCAGAAAAGAGGATGCTGTTCAGACTATTGCCTATTAATGGACAATCGTTCCCACCCCCACCATTTACACTCTAATCAGCCAGAAGAGCCCTTTTAGTCGAAGACTGATTCCTCCACACTGCTCGAGGGGAACATATAGGAGGTGATTTATTTTAACAGCCATCAAACTGTCGCCTCTTCTGTCCTGATCTAAGGCCTTTACTTTACTCTTCACTTCTGAATCTTTCTAGAACATGTCCAAAGCCTCATGCCGTGTTGATGAACGGCAATGTCATGAAATGCGACCTTTGTTTTACTGTACAACCATTTTTTTCTACTCCGTTTTGTAGTATTTTTGCAAATAATTTCACGGATCTGTTATCTTTTAAGTGTACTACCAAAACTCTGAATATGAAGATAATAAGTCATGAGTTTTACTGAAGTATAGAGACATTTACAATCCAGTCCTTGACCTTGACCAGGAAACACTTCCTTGCCTGTCCCTGTAAGCGTCCTTTCAACCTGTTTAACACATTTCTGACATTGTTTCCTATGTATTATTACTATGCATTTGATACAGCTCTGTCATACTATTCAAGGTGCTGCTACATGCTTCATGTCTACAGCACAGCCCTGCTAGAGCAGTGAACACATCTGTCTGTCAATCCCTTCATCTACATAATCATAAACACACACACGCGTCTTGTCGCAGGAGGGTGTCGCACATGTCGACGCCTGGTAAATGCCCTCTTTACATATAGCTAGAGGGCTGTGATCACTATAACTGAGATGCAATTCAGAAACCATCTCAAAAAATGTCTCAGTTGATCGCGAAGTTAGTGGTTCTGACGACGGGCTTCCATCACATGATAACAACACGTTTATGCAACATTAATAACAGCATAACCCATAAGCAACTGAAAGCTATTAATGCAGAAGTGAAGGAAGACTAGGTTAAGCTAACGTTAGCAAACTCACGGTCTCGCCTCCTTCTGGACTTTGGTAGACCCCTGAACTTTGCTGGCAGCGGAGGATGAACCATCATGTTTGACGACCCTCTTCCTCGTCATAACGTCAGTATTATTCAAGTAAATTCACTTAAATATATATATATATATATATATATATATGCTAACCTAGGGCCCAGTTACGCAGTGTTTTTTGTTGTCACTTTGTCATCGGCTATCAAAAAGTTTGAACAAAGCACAATCTAATCAGGCGAAAGGGGAGGAACCTGGGGCTGTTAAGGTAGCACTGCTTTATTGTAAACCTTAGTTGTTTCCTGTGAAGATGGAAGTTTATTTTGAAAAGACAGTATGCATGTAACAAGCGAAAACAGACTCATGTTGCTGGACTTTTGCAGGAAAAACGCACGAAAAGTGAGGAGTAATATTTCATAAGATATCAATAAAACCGGGATGAATTTATATCATTGTATAAAGAGAGTGACATGAGAAGATCAATCTCATGTCTGTAAGTTAAATCAGCTATAATCACTATTTTAAAGTGATTAGTGACTCGTCTAAAACATTTAAGAAAGGAATAACTTCAATAGAATCATTCTGTACACTGTAGCTTCTTTACATTCTATTAGAATGTAAATAAGTTACATTGTGTAGCTTCTTTACATAACTTCTTTACATTCTAATAGAATGTAAAGAAGTTACAGTGTTGCCTTTTCTTTTCACAAGAACGTAATTTTGTCAGGTTGATAAAAAAAACGTCACTTTACTTCCTGACATTATTGTTACTTTTAGGTTATCACAAAGCACATCACGTTACACATGACCACCTTAAACGCGGCACACAGTAAACTGAATACTGTTAACCATCCATTGTTTTCTGTCATTTTACAAGAAGATGTTTAACTACATATGAAAGCATATACGCCCTAGTTATGGTGCTGTTGTCTGCTTTAAGTTAAATAAATTGTATTTAATGAAACAAAATTAATTAGTATTTGTAAAAAACAAACAAATATGTATTAGGACATTTTATGAAGGCACTTTCTTTATTGTCATCCATTCATACATAACGTTTTCTGTTTGATATTGCCGGTACCATTCTCCATCCTATCCAATCTACATGTACTGTGCAAGTTGACATGTGGGCACATACATATTGTAAACATGGGACAAGTAGTACAAAACCTTGCAGCCACCTCATGCCGCTCTCTATAACTACACCATAAGTGAGCAATAAACAGGGACAATTTTACTTCCAAACCTTGACGTAACATGTGTAAGCATGTTACTCTGAGCACATCACTTCTGGTGTCCAAGGTATTATTACTTTTTCTGGCATAGCTGTCCAAATCAGCACCACATTCAGAGCATATACTTTGAGTGTCTGGTACGTTTTTTTCATTTCATGGAGCAATATTTTATAGATTTGTGGCCGCACTAACAGAAGTGGTGTGTTTGGAATACCAAGATAATCCTCCATGGGAATAAACAGAAGAAGACATGTCTGGGAGGTTAACATGATGAGCAGTGGTTATTACATCAAGCCTGACATGTTCTGGCTCAGATAACAGCAATACATTCAAAGTAGGATTTTGTCATGCAATTATTATTTCACCTCCACTTTACTGCACGCATTTTAAGAATGCAATCATAGGAGAAGAAATGTCACTCATTTTCCATCAAAGCAGACTTGGATAGAATAAAATCGGAATGCCCTGGTATGAAATGGACACTTCCGAGAGGACAAAAGGCACCATGGCAACAGAGACAAAGGAAAAAGAGCAGCATCAAACTCCCCAGTGTTTGACATGTGACTTTTAGGAACGTGCAGCGCAGAAATGGCCGCTCAGGACCAAAGATGTCACCAAAATAAATAAAGAGGATGATGCAGATGACTACTTCAGGAACTGTGTGGCTCTGGCTGTATCAGGGAACCGGCAGAGAGGACACTGATTTTATTGGAGCCCTCTGGGAGCTGATGGGTCAGGTACACTCCAAAAGTGACCTAAAAATGTATTATGAACATGAAAGAGATCTTTTTTTATGCAAATACATTTCACAAAACTCTCTCTCTCACACACACACACACACACACACACACATGAACGAGCAGTAATTGTCTTTGACTGACCTTCCCATTGCGGTAGGCCGACAGAGACATTAGCGGCTCTTTTGTTTTGGTCCCAGTCTCCTGGTCTACTCCAATCATCTGGCACCTCCCACACTGACCTGCGGCCTTTGGGTTAATCACGAAGGGAGCACATTCATATTTGAGGGATCCGCTCTCAGAGCCTTTGAACATTTCATCATATATCTCAAAGTGTCAGCTCACCACGAATCGAGTGTTGCCAATAATCAAGTGTGGCCAATTATCCTCCTCAAATGGTTCTACTCCAGCGATGACTAAATTGGCTCGGAAGCGGCTAATGACGTTCTGTCCGTCAAGGAGCTGATCGCCCTCGGCGTCGTCCTGCCTGCGAAAGGGAAATGTGGAAATTGCATGTCGTTTTTGAAAATCAGCCACTGTCATGTAAATGTACAGGCGTCCACGCATCCTGGTGTTTTTCACTGGAGCGTCGCGTATTTTGAATAACACCATCATGTGTTCCAACCTGCTGCTCATTAGCTTCTGAATGAGCTCCGCGCTGGCACGGTTGATCATGAGATACTGAGCTTCATTCACCAGGGAGAGGGATGTGGCGGTGGCAGCTGGAAGGGAAAGACTTTTTGTTACCCCAGTGACTTATTCAATACGAAGAAAACATTCTGATCTCTGGTTTGCACAGCCCGCATCCTGACAGAGCCTGAAAACGGAGGTTCTGCTGTAATACAGAGGGTGAAAGAAGTGTAAGTAAATTTGTCAACACTAATCGAAAAGTGCACCACTAATTACATTTTGGTGATTTTCTATAAAGTATTCCATCACTGCGAGAGTAATTTTATACAGCAACATCAATCTCAACTTTAAAGCCAACAAGACGTCCTTGAAATGCTCTGAAAATGTAAATTTTAACATCTGCAATTCAATGACAACGGGGCAAACTCCATCTGCTGACAAAGATTGTGTGATACGATCAAAAGCCCCAGAACAGCTACTACATGGACCTTATGATAAGATTCTTTTTTTTCAAATAGCAATACATATCGTGATGTAAGAAAGTCAATTGAGAAGTTGTTAATAGATTAAAAAGTCAAATGGGAATTGACTCATCCAGTGAACGAAAGACCTGAACAACTAAGATAAGTCATCATATTAATGCAAAAATGAATTAAACAATGCTATAAAGCAGGGTGGCTCACTGACGCAACATTACCAGCAAAAAGCCTCACATTTACACGAGGGTTGGTATATTTGTCACGAGCACTACTGCTACTCAGACTGTGAAAATAGTTACATAATGTCTTCTGTGGCTCTGGAGGGAGTTTCCTAAAAGATTAATCTTGATGATGCCATTGGGGTCATCAGAGTCTGCAGATATTTAACAGAAAGCCTGCATTACAAACGCCGAAAGATATGGGCATTGAAAAGATGAATCAGCTGCATTATGGGAAAGGTGGGATGCGGTATTTTTGCAGCTTGACTCATACCAGAGACTAAAAGTCGGGATTTATATCTGGCGAGACTCCCGAGAGGCAGATTTAGAAAAAAGACAAAATCTGTCAAAGGCCGTTATATCCAAATTTCTATTCCTTTGTTTGAGTCAAGCTCCAAAAACACCGGAGCCCACACTTCCCATAATGCAACTGGATAGTATCTCTGAGTTAGATCCTCCCTGGCTGGTAAATACCCACGTCTTTCAAACAGGCAGATTGTAACGCAGGCTTTCTGTTGAAAAGCCCGAGCTTAGACATCATCGGGGTAATTTTCCCAGACTTGACACAGAGCTCCTTCACAGGCTGAATACTACGAACCATGACACGAAAACTGAACGAGATGTATACAAGTGATGAGATACAAACGTATTGTTTAGCTATTCATTTACACATAAAAGTGTTACGTAATAAACTGATGCTTTTAAACAGAGTAACTTGCAAAAGCAGAAAAGGATGATGTTTTTTTTTTAATTCCATGTGACCAGTAATGCAATGTCACAGCCACAACCAGGTGGTATTAGCAGGATATGTGACCCTGGGTTGCACATGGAGACTTTTGCAGTTAAATCCAACGTAACGAAATAAGAGCCACGGCCGGAACAGGTTAGAATGCTTAAATAGGTACCTCCACTCGGCCTCTTCTTCATGTCGCGGGTAAAATCAGGACTTTGTCTTATCAGGCGGCATGGCTGTCCGAGGAAGTCTGAGAGCCATGATGCAGCCTCATCCCCACAGTCGACAGCCTCCACCCTGGGGAGAAGGAGGCGGATTACATTCTGGAGGCCCTGGGGGAAATCTGCAGAGTTTGATGCTGCTTGTCATTTGGGGCAACATCGACAGTAATCCAAGAATCAGCGGATAAATAGATTTACTTTTTGTTTAACTTGTGACTTGTCATGAGAGAATCTAAGGAGGTCAATATCATCTCATGCTCACTGTTTGTTTTTCCATTAAAAGTGGTAAATACGTGGAGTTTCAGATGCTATTGAGAGCAAGGAGACCTTCCGATGCCTGTAGAAAGATAGCGTCAAGAACAGTGGAGCGAGAGACTGCACTGATAGGAGCCAAAAAGCCCGGCACAAATGATACGTATCAGAGTATTTCCTGCAGCTGCTGCATTCAGATGTTTTAACATTGCCAGCTCACCTGTCACCACAAACTTTACTCTGACACACTCGATAGCTTGCATGCATTTGAGTTTTGTTTTCCAGGGGAACCGAAATGGTATCCATTCCTGCAGGGCAGTGGAAAAAATATATAAATCCTCTAACAAAGCTAGTTTATAGCAGAACATCTGACTGAGTGAAATTTCTTTTGGTTAGGCAGTTTGAGCTGCTGACAGACCTGAAGCCTGCAGGAGCAATTTGTTTGAGGGCAGGTGGACTTGTGGGCGAACGAGGCACAAGCGCGGCTCCCTCTTCTGGCTCAGGCACACGCCGTTTCCATTCACCACCATCCAGCTTCTGTCATACAGCAAACCCAGCGGTCCCACCGGCCAGTCGTGGACCTGCATGAAGAACAGCACCGAGTCAAATCCAAGCAAGAGAAAAGGGAAAGAAACCGGACAGACGGGGACAGAATAAAGTGAAAGAAAAAGATTATCGATACATGATATGGGTCGTCCTCAAACCTCATAGGCTCCACATGATTTGATGGGATATATGTAGATGTTGGTTAGAGTATAAGCCCCCCGGTGGCTGTTTGAGTCTCTGTGTCCAAATCCCCTCAGTGGTGCTTCTGTAGGCTTCGCCCTCTTGTCTGCTCTAACTGCACCTCCATTAGTGTTGTTGATTGGGGGCTCTTCATGTAAGCCTCCGGATGCTGCTGTGGCTGTTATTAGCTCCTGTAGTCTCACTTGGTCCACTGTGACCGGCTTCTCCACGAAGCACTCGGCTACAAAGTTCAGGAACTTTTGACAGTCTTCAAATGTCGACATGTAGCCAAAGGACACGCGCACAGATCCGGTCGGCTGGCCATCCACCAGGTCGATGCTGTCTCCGCAGACGTGGCCGGCCTTGAGGAGAAAAACACGGCCTTTTTATTCCACCTGCACATGCCCAGAACAGACTTTGACATTTTTCCTACTACTGTATATCTCTCACCTGCAGGTTTCTACGCATCTGCTGATTGGTGATCCCGAGGAAGGACTGACAGGCTCCGGTGTTGCAGAAGCAACCCGTGCGCACATGGATATTGTACAGACTGGCCATTCTGTCCACCTGAGGAACAACAGAGGAGCTGTTTTAATATGCACCAGCGCTGCCTATGCATAAAACATGCGGTAATCAAGCTGTTATGGAACTGAAATTTATCGAATGCACCTGAGAATACCCAATTATCTGCCCATGAGAATCCTTGAGGTTGAAGTTTAGGATTGCGCCCTGTGTGCTTGGACTCTCAAACTGGCCTTCTGTGTATATCTGAGCCACCGGTCGCCCGTTGCCATGGCAAAGGCTTGACAGCAGCATGTAAGTGTAGCGTGCCAAGCCGTAGGTGTGCTGCTGGATGTTGTGCATGCCCCCTGAAGGCAACAAGAGATGACGACAGGGACACTGTTCACGTTAACCTTTAGCAAATCGTGAATAACTTGCATATGTATCATTATTCTGTTATCAAATGAGTGCTTTAATGTTGTTGTTTTTCTATTAACATGTCTGTTACAGTACCTGTGATCCTGTAAAGAGCTTCAAAACCGTGATTTACAGCAATGATGTCCAAGAAAGAAACAGTCCCGTCTTCAAATCTTTATCGGGGAGAAAGAAAACATTGCGTCTTAGAATAAGGATGCAGCTGCTACCAGAACAACTGTGAGCTTTCAGAGAATATCTAGGATTTGACAGGCTCGTACTGTGCTTTACCTGTCACAAATGTTGGCCGCCTGCACATAATAATCTTCACCAGAAAGGTAAGCTGCTGCTGTGCCTCCTCCAAAGTAAGTCTTCTTTAGTATGCCCGCTGCGTCGTTACGGACAAGAAGGGCCCCCAGACCTGTGGGGAAGCCAAACATCTTATAGAAGGAGACGGGAACGAAGTCAGCGGGGCACTCCTGCAGGTTCAGAGGGGAACAGCTGACATGAGAGGCTGCATCGAGCAGCACAAACCAGCGACCCTGGTGGTCACACGCTGGGTAAAGGCGTCTCGTCTGGATGCCTCTCACGAGGCCAAGGGGGTACTTCCTCCCCGAGAAGTTGCTCTGCGCCGGGTAGCTGAAGAGGTGAGGCGTCTGGCAAGTATCATCTTCACCTTTCGTCCTCGCCCTGTTCTCCACTTCCTGCAGGGAGACGGGCAGGGCAACCACCCCCCGGCCACAAGCCATCCCTCTTATGCCAACTACAGAGGTGTGGCTGTCGGTGAGGTAGCAGAAGTGACTTCCCGCCTGGCTCTCGGCTGGCGGCCTCCAGGGAAAGCTCTCAGCCACTAATTTCACTGCGGCTGTACAACCAGAAGTGAAAATCACAGAGTACTCCTCAGGGGTGGCGTTAAAATGCTGCAATACCCTGTAAGAAAATGTTCTGTTTTTTTACTCATCTCACCCAGGAAAGTACCATTCAAAAGGAGTCACAGGGGCCCATTATGAATGCCTCTGAGGGCTTGAACAGTCTTTACCTGTATCTGACCCTGTCCACCGTGTCTTGTGTCAATCTGCTGCTGGGGTTGTGGCTGTGAGGGTTTCCTATTGGGACATATGACAACAACTTAAATGCTCTGAGTTTTATGGCTGAATAAAGAACACATAAACACGTGTTATGTGACTTCTCTCACCGTACACGTTCCTTGAAATGTCCTGGAAGTACTCCCTGACCAGAGACTCTGGGTACAGAGTAGTCGCTGCATGATCCAGATACGTTATTCCTGTTTACAACGAGAGAGCAGCCGTGTGTGCTTGTGTAAACGGTCAACCAAGCGACGCCACTGCGCATGTCATGACTGAACGCGACCATTACCTTTAATCCGTATGAACTCCTGGTCAATCACGTCCTGGAGGTTCCCCCCATAGCCGTAGCGACTCCACAGCGACTTAAAGGTGTCAAACGTGCACAGTGTTTGGAAATCCATCGACCGCTTTGTGCAGAGAGCTACAGAGCAGACCGCGGGGCGGCTGTGACCACAGACGCGTCAACACTCGGCTTGTTTTGTAATTATTGATATGTTTTACGGTCAAAGTCCAAGTCATCAGCGGCTGAGCTGTAAAGTCCTCCTCCCCTTTGCGCCCCCTCGCGCAAACCGTCTCGAGACTATTTGCCAGTCTTGCAGAAAGGTCACATGAGTTATCGTCACGAACTCTCACAAAGTTGATTTGGAAGTGGACACCGCTGGTAAAAACCAGGAACATTGTGCCGTTGAAAGAGAAACTAGTGTTAGTAACTGCTTTGCAATGCAATCATGTGACAAGCGAGTATTGGACTACCCCCCCCCCCCACACACACACACACACACACTGCTTTTGGCTCTCACGTTAACTAATGTTCAGCTAACGTTAGCTGGACTACGAACAACTGCAGAAGAACACATGAAGCAGGGCACGACAGTCGTTTTCAAAATGTTAGTAAGATTAGTGATTATTTCACATGATTCTAGTGTAACGTTATATTAAATTAATATCTTATCAAATGCACTTTATGTATTTACATATGGACATTTACTATTTGATAAACATGTTTTTCAACCATATTTACCAACTATAACGTATGTGTTTGAGAATTGTTTAATATGTAGGCATATATCTATATTCCTAATATACCTGACTATAGGCCAACTGTGCAATATATCTATATTCAACATGTATTTGACATATGTAATATGAAAATGTAGCCATGCATCACTTTACTAGGCATGTTTAACATGAATAGTGAAGGGTCATATGTGTCATTTTTAGATATTTGTGGTATATGCATACACATAAATGACTTATATGCTTTGGATATTGATGAGAGAAAAGGTGTTATTATAACTAATCACAAATGATGATGAAAGAACCAAGTATTATATTCATCCTTTATGTATTCAATGTACCCGTCCCCCCTGATTGTTTTCAGGGTCAACGTTTATTGATCTTCATTGTTTAACCCTTACTCATAACCTAAGATGAATAAATACTCTCACTTTAAAAGATTACTTCATCTTTTAGTTCTCATAATCATTTGTTTCTTTTAATCACAGTAATTATACTGGTTTTTACAGCTTGTAGTAATTGTAATAGATTACACCAGCAAGTCTCGGGAATCACTTCACAGTAATATCAAACCCCTGACTCTTATTTTATTGAACAGTGCATGAAGGAGTAAATTAGTTCAAAGTGCTTGGCATTCAAAATAGTTTTCAAAAATATGAATTAGTGCATATTATTCCAGTGTAATGATTACTTAATGTCCGGCTACTTTAGCGGCTGTGTGTTATTAAAGCTAATGATGAAAAAACCATGTATATATTATATTTATCCTTGAGCCATTTTTTTTCAGTTTAGGTAAACTTAGTGCAGCTAGGACCCCCTTTTTCTTTCATTTTCAGTTTGTTCTTTATTTCATCTATACGCTGCTGTCAGTAACTGTAACTGATTACACCAACAAGTCTCAGTAATCGCTTCACAGCAATCCCTTTACATATAATCCCCGACTCCTTAATCTCATTGACACACAAGGTACACGAAGGAGGGGAAATTAGTCACAAGTGATTGGCATGAAATGCCCGAGCATCTCACGGTCTCTGAAAGGATAGAAATAACTGTCACATACTTTGTCAGACGCCATGCCCTTGACAGCTTTGATAGCTTTGTTGTGGTTCTGACTCTGTTTGCAGTCTGGAAACAGAAAGACACACTGTTGTACAGGTTTTATTCTACTGTCCTGGACTTTTGTTGACCTTTGCTTCACCCTTAATCGTAACCTAACTGAGCCTCACCGTGAAAAAGTCCCTTAAAAAGAGAAGAAGAGCAAAACAACTTTACTTTAAAGGATATCATCTTTGTGGACATTGAATCCTCTTAAACAGAAATAAAACTTAGTTGTATTGAAATTGTAGTAGAGAAATGAATATAACGTGGCCTGCCTAGATGTCTGACAGACTGCCATGAGGCTCACAGCAGCCGTCATTGTCCCCGTGCAACGCAGTGAGTAGTAATTAAATATGCCACTTATGCTTCACTGATTCATTTCCTTCACAATTTTGAAGCTCAGCTGAATACATTTTTTTTTTCTGTGCGGGGCTGTATTGTATCGAGTATGGCCTCATTACAAGGGCAGAAGGGCTTGGTGTGGGGGAGGGCAGAGGCAGTGATGGGGGGGGAGATAGAAGCGCCCCATGAAGACATTGTGCTTAACATCACTAAATACCTCAAACGCCACATTGTCCTTCCCAGCCCTCAATTAGTGGGGGTCCTTGTACAAAGCACCGATTTCATACAGGGTGATTTATTTTTAGAGACAAATCCGGCCCTGTGCAGGCTGGAAGCTCTCTGAAAATCTAATGAGGAACACAGCAGTCATGCAGAGTTGTTAGTCTCAGAGCAAAACTGGTTAACAAAGCCTCTCTTCAGTGTCTCTGTGTGTGTTTTCGATGACTGAAAAAGGCTAGAGCTCTCTGATTTTGGTCGTTGTGGTGGCTGGAACTGTAGCCTGCTCTATCTGCGCTGGACAGTGTCCAGCCAAAGAGCCTCTTTGCCCTGCCCTCAGGCCCCTTCAGCTTGTGGATCTCCGTGCGGAGGAACGCCTCTTTGGTGGCTGTGACAGGGAGAATTAGGCAAGAGATGCAGGTTCACTTGCCCTGCGTAGGGGCTTATCTTGGGCTAAGCTGAGGGACTAATAGCAAAGCCAGCCTCCGCTCCAGCCGGTCTGAGGGCACAGGGAACCATCTGTCCAGTCTGTGGATAACTGACAACAAAGGGGGAAAACATTGATCACGGACTGCAGAATAAAAGGCCGTTCATTTAGGAGATACCAGAAATACAGAAGAGGAATATTTTGTATATAAGGTCAGTACTTCCCACTTATCATTCTTGAATACAGGCCCTTTTACTGAGCCACAAGGGTCAGACTCCTTCACAGCTAAAGTTTCTACTGGTAACAATGTGGTAGACTACAGTAATGTTGGGGGTTCAACCAGATGCAAAGTTGAAGTTTTAAGTTGAAGTAACTTTGAATTCAGCCCTCCTTTTTTGTTCTCTTCACTTACAGGGAGCTAAGAATGCGTGTCTTCATTCTAATGCACGTCTCCTGACTCCCATTAGTTGATTTGTGCTGGTTGTTTTTCAATACTCTGCTGTGTGGTAAATGCATTTTGTTGTACTCGTGACGGCAGAGATAGTTTGTGCTACAATGGATTATCACATTAAAGCAGACATGAATCTCTGATAGTGTAACCTTTGTGTTGAGGGAGGAATGCCATGCCACCGGGCCCCGTGCTTACAGTCTGATATGTGATCGTTATAAATAGAATGTTACTGTAGATCTTTAAGAAATGATTAGTCGTGGGTTATTTAAATTGTGATAAAGATATGTAATTTAACACGTTTCAAAATGTATAGAACATTGTTTGAATTATTGTTTATTTAGGAGCTTTGCTCCCTAAACTGGAGCACTATTGTATGTAATAATATTGTAAAATACAATAATCTTTGCATTACAATCTTCAGAATGTAAAAATATGCTTTGTTATACCCTCAAATTTGGAGTACATGAAACCCCTCAAGTAATCCACTTAGACATTGTTCTCCATTTCCCTAAGGATTAATGCCCTGGTTTTATTTTTTTTGTTATTGTCTGAAGCCCATTTCTGCCTGCAGTGCTCTGGGAGCTAGGTTCCTGTAGATTGTCTGTTTTATCATGTATACTCTGTGGGTGCTGTTGTGCACCAGTGTTTTGTTCGGAAGTCTTGAGTGGGCGCTGACGTGCTAGAGGTGACAGAAATGGGTCAAAGGGGTCTTAGCATTAACTAAACAAATCCCGGCCTATAGGATTAGACAGAGATGTTGCTGTTTATTTGATGTATTCACTCTAACTTTATAATGATACACGGCAGGAAGAATGGCTGAGTCTTTAAAGACAGCCTCCGCTCATCCTTCAGCTCGGACCGGTATTATCAACACTGGAATGTACTAGAACAATATCTTATTGTAAACCTGTCTCTGACCCTGGAAAACTATTCTTTATTTATTTACTTGTTAGTTACTGATTTTGCCACATTTCGTCATGATATCCTCAGAGTTAGCGTGGTTGAGTCAAACCCACTCTCATTTTTGGTCTTTTTTTTAGGTGTGGAATGGCGACAGAGCTCTGTATTTATTGGTTTGTGTGTGTATCTACACAGGGGTCTGTGGGAGGACAGATAGGTTGATATTTTGAGGAATATGCTTACTTGCTTAGTTGCAGAGAGTTAGATGAGCAAGTCGATACCACTCTCATATCTGTCTGTTAAATATGAAGCTATAGGCAGCAGCCGGTTAGCTTAGCTTAGCACAAAGACTGGAAACAGCTAGCCTGGTGCTGGTAACAAAATGCTGCCCCTCTAAAGTTCACCACTTAACACATTACATCTTGTTTGTGTAGGCCGTACAGGGATTAAGTATGAGGAAAAAGACAGTGACAATTTGCTGTTTCATGTTGGTTATGTTCCAGACTATATCTTGTTTGCTTGGATGCTATTCAGAGCCACGAAATAGTCCCACTGTAAACACCGTTTCTACACTTTGTTTATATGGATTAAACTCATGAGATAGAACTAGTTAACTTGTGCACTTTAGAGATGCTGGTAGATGGATAACCTTCGGACAAAGCCAGGCTAGCTGTTTCCAGTCTTTATGCTAAGCTAATGGCTACAGTTTAAGATTTACCGCACAGACATGAGAGTGGTATCGGAGTAGGATTGAATTAAACTGTAGATTAAACTGGGAACACCACATGCGCAGTCACTCACCAATAGCGTGCTGCCTTGTTCCTTCCTCTTTATCACCAAGGTCTCAGAAACATTTGCATTTAACCAACAGGTTTCCCATTTAAAACACGCTTACTCTGTCTACATAAACATTCCCTTCTTAAATGACCCTTTTTCATTTAGGTCATTTGGTTTGTTAGTTATAAGTTCTTTATCTGAGTCAATTCTTTGTGCAGAATGTCTCTCAAACACTGAGCTTTACTAAGCCCAGTGTTCAAAGTAAAGGTCTAAAGCATTGCTCAGAACCATGATGGTCCAATAAATAAGGTGACCTTGGTCCTTGTTAGACTTAAAGTCTTCTCTCTGTCAGTTATGATGCGATAAGCTACCCTTCCTACACTGCAACAAGACATTCTTTCTTTGTTCTGCAAATACAACATATTGGATACGCGGCCACAACAGAGCCGACATTGTGTGGTAGGATATTAAGAGACTAACCGGTCACACACACACATCCCTTGATCCTCAGGCCTCCACAAGTGGCTTCCTTTGTATCTTATCTTATCCGAGGGACACACAACTTGTTTTTAGCCGGAACTAAAGATGCGGTCCCAAGTGAAGATTGCACCTAGTGATAGGCTTACCCCCCGCACCCGCTCACAAGTACACAGTCAGAAGAACAACCACGATGCACAACTCTTCAGAGAGCACAAGTTCCATGATGAAACCTTAAAAAAAGGAAAGTTATCTCCTCTTAACAGCGTAAAAAGGTCTGCTTCTTTGAAGCATTTTCCGGTCACTCTGCATTCCCCATAGTTAAGCTAATGATCCATAACATTCTCAAATAGAGATCTATTTCATCTCTGCAGACTGATGATGCAGCTTACACCCAGTTCATGATAGCTGTTACATTTGCTGTGTCTGGTAGCTCTTCCCCAGAAAAATCCTGTTGAGCACAGGAAATGATACATTTCACATTTCCTGCAGCTGCAGCAGTTTGACAGTAATAAATAGAAGAAGACCAGGGTAGTTAGCACGAGCAGTGATAACAACCGGAATGATTTAACAGACAAAGACGGCTGGAAATTCATTGAAACGTGGAACTCATATAATACTCTCCACACAGTTTGACTTTGTAATGAAATTAGGATCCCGTTATTTAAACGGATAATCTACTGAGCCAGCCACCTGAAACACCAGAGCTCCTTCGTTATGCACAGGAGCGGTCTTAAACAATGTCCCTCTTTTTGCAGAAGGTTTACAATCAAGGAAAACACAGACAATGTCTGACAAGGAAGAAATGGCTTCAGATGGGGGTCTGAACGTAACGCTGACGCTGAGGCTGCTAATGCATGGAAAGGTAATAGACAGATGTGGAAACAGTTCAAATAATTGAGTGTATTTATGTCATCGTATCCTAATAGTCTGGTAATAGCATACTATTGTTGTTAAAATAATTACGTCCTGCTCTAAATGTATAAAGCTGTTAAGAGAAAATCTTGTGTGTTGCCACTTGCTTGTTAAGCGTTTTTTGTCTTTTCATTCACAGGAAGTTGGCAGCATCATCGGGAAGGTAGATCTTCTTTTTTTTTTTTTTTTTACAATCCATCAGCATCACACTGATTTCTTCCTGATTGCCTTGTTTTCTTCTCTTCATCAAACTAATCAAGTTTACTGTTTTATATTCACCTACATTACACAAGAAAGGAGAAACAGTCAAGAAAATGAGGGAGGAGGTGAGCATTCACTCTGACACCCCTAATGTGAAAACACGTATACTTTAATGTGTTCTGGCAGACCAATTACAACAAATGGAGGCTGGAATAATTGGGGATTTGTGTTTTCCAGAGTGGCGCTCGTATCAACATATCGGAGGGATCGTCTCCCGAGAGGATAGTCACCATCACAGGACCGACAGAGGGCATCTATAAAGCCTTCTCCATGATCGCTCAGAAGTTTGAGGAGGTACAGCAAAGCACATGTGCAGCAAACTGCACTGCAACGTTTCACATTTCTCACATATCTTCATTAAAATTCAGTTTAACGCAAACATTTAGGAACCATTCTTTAAAGGTTTTGTCTGAAGTCCAAAGGACAGTAAATGCACCTTTTCCTTGCAAAATATAAATAGAGACTTGTCAAATAAAACTGACGTTCTCACAGTCTGAGCTGAAAAGGTATTTTTAAATCCTCCCTCAGGATATCACCGCAGCAATGACAAACAGCACCGTGACAAGCAAGCCACCTGTGACACTTCGCTTGGTTTTCCCAGGGAGCCAGTGTGGCTCGCTGATTGGCAAAGGAGGCTCGAAGATTAAAGAGATCAGAGAGGTAGGGCAGAAGTCCTTTTCTTTTTCACTTTTCTATCGGGAAGTTGTTATTCAGCACCCAAAAGGGATCAGAAAACCTCCTCCCTGCTGCTTCGACACCTCAAGTAGCAAGCACTCCAGTCAAACATGTTTGTTCCATCTCACTTGTTTCTCTCTGTGTTAAAATGTGTGTATTTTTTTTCTTCTTCGTCTGCTGCTCATGAAAATCCCTCTGATTATGCATGTAAAGACCGGTGGAGGGTGAATACTCATTCTGAATGGACAATATTTGTGTGCGCCTCTTCAAATATTGGAGCAGACATTGCCATTTGGCTTGCAGCTGCTCCCTGCATGTCAAAATGTGTTCGGGGTAATTTGCGGGTGCTTAAAACAGCATTTCAATTTGGATGATGGTGGGCTCTTTTCAGCAATAAATAGCTTTTTTTTCTTCTGTTGTCTGGCGACATCAAGACCACAGGCGCTCAGGTTCAGGTGGCAGGAGACATGCTGCCGGACTCTACAGAGAGGGCTGTCACAATCTCAGGCACTCCACAGGCCATCACTCAGTGTGTACGACACATCTGCTCTGTCATGCTGGAGGTAAGGATTGTCAGACAGCAGATGATCCACATGTTCAGCAACTCTATTTAGGCGTTAAATTTCACATTTGTTTAGGAGCTGGTAAAAGGTATAGCAAATTCCCGATATTGAATATGTTTAACTCCTGCCAGGCTAAAGCTTTGCGTTCAGGTTGGAGTGGTTGGTCATCCTCATGAGAGATGCAACAGTGATTGCACTGTTTGTGAAGATGTTCAATATATTGTTCCTTTTATTAGATAATGGTTTTATTTGATCAGTCATGCCCCCAAAGTCATGTCAGATGAATGTCAGTCCTCAGCACAAAAATTGTGGATGCATATTTTTTTAATCAGATGATTATTTCTGTTTTTAATTTCTAGTTAAATTAGTTGAGTTCTCGACATACTGCTGTAACTGCAAGGGGGAATGGGAATCGCCTGAACTGAACTAAAAGTAAAACTATTTTTAAGTTCAGCAAAAAATCGAACCAACTCCTTATTTTCTGTTCTGTTCACAGTTGTATCATAAGTTGTTTTGGTCCAAAGTCTTATGTAACTTTCTCAACCGATGAAAGGGGAATAAAAATATTCAGCAGGCAATTTAAACAGGGGATATAAAAATGCACCAGTAGCAGTAAGAGCCCTCTTCTCACTTGTCTGTGTAAATTCTGGTTGCATATCTGTGTCTCTAGTCTCCACCAAAAGGAGCGACCATTCCCTACCGACCCAAGGCCATGTCTGCTGGAGCCCATGCAGTATTAGCACCACAACACTCTGCACAAGTAAGTAGCAATATGGGAGTTATTTAACCATGGTTTTAAACGGCTCTGTTAAAAGCACAACAATTGAATAGGCTTTCTTATTTTGTGGGAGCTCAGAGTCACACTGATCATTAAACACATCTTGCCACTAGAGGGACACATCTGTGTAATTATACAGCAGTGAGCTTTTCATATTGTAATGCTCTGAGTGGTAAGATGAGGTAATGATCACATTATAAAGTATTCAGGCAAGCTGTAATGTGTCAGAGATATGAATGACAGTCATTTACATAAAATAATTCCCCTGCAGTGCGGGACACCTGAAAGATGTCGTGACTAAAGCTTGTGCTTTCCCTGAGCTGGCCGGTTGCTGTCCTGATTTTGGCACAGTGTGATCTGACCTATCAGACATCTGTTTATGTTATTGGATTGCTGGGCATGGTCAAAGAGGTGTGGGGGGGACCCGGCAGCAGATGACATTTAGATGAAATTCCATCAAATCCATACACATTAGAGCTATGGAAAAGTGGAAGAGAATGGATTTTCAGAAATGCACTCAGAAATGCACTGAGTTCACACGTTATACTCTGACAAATTCACTTTTCAAGTGTCGTGTTCGTACACGTCCGAACCTCTCAGTCATACAATCACGTCTCCTCTCTTTTATTCCTCTTAGGCCTTTGCGATTCCAGGCCAGTATGCTTTTGCGCACCAAGATGTAAGTATGCTCATTTGAGTTGCCGTCACCCGCCCCGTTGACCTTCCCCTGCCCACTCCTTCCAAGCCACCACTCCGCCCTCTGTCTACCCTACTCTGCAAAGATGAATTTCAATAACCCTGATCTGTTGACATTACTAACGCTAACACGTTGTTGTTGTTGTAGCAGCATGCATTGATTGAAATGAAAGTGAAAATCTTAAGAGTTCTTGATCAGTGATAGCTTCGTAGCCAGAGATGTGACTGTACTTTCTGATGACTGCCAGTGAGAAGCCGGCATGCTCTCTGAAGGGAATGGATCTCTTCACTATCTGTGCTGTTTGTGAACTTCAGATTGGCTCTGTATTGCAGTTGTCAGCTCCTCTGATAATAATCCAGTTTGATTGGTTAGCTCTAACTTCCTTCCTACCCTGCAGTTGACCAAGCTTCACCAGTTGGCTATGCAGCATATCCCCCTCCCTTCCCTTGGGCAGAGCCACCCTACCTTCCCTGGTACGTACCCACGGCTCCCCGGGGAAGTCCATCTATCCCTCTGTCTTCACTCCTCTTCGAATCACATCATCAACACCCCTGTCACTTCAGAGAGGAACAAGGATGTCTCCATTCTCTCAAAGTTTACAGACTCTCTCACAGGTTTTTTTTGTTTGTAGAAGGTGGCTTTTCAGAGACGTGCATATCACTGAAATGAGCTGTTAGGTTTTGCATTGGCGTTTGCATCTATTTGTACAAGAAAATAAGATGAAAAGAACAGAATAGTGAGTAGGACAGTGACGTTTTAAGGTTAAGCCACCAAACTAGTTTATTATAAACAATCTTGAAAGTTAGTCACTGAAATATTTACAGTGTGTGACGGATTGAAGCAGACAGACTGAAATGCAAAAGTAAACAGCATAGTTCTCTGAGAGGGCAATGTGAAAAATGTCAGAAATATTTACAGTTTAGTAAATATTTAACCATTTCTCACAATTTCTCATATCCTCCCAAAAATTTCAGCTCCATTTGCCCAGTTTCCCTCTCCGAAAACAAATCCTAATCTCTCGAATCCCATCCTCCACCTCTGCAACATTTCTCCTCCAAATCTAACATTGTCTTCTTGGCCAGTCCATCCCTAACCTCAGCCACCCCACGTACTCATTTACACTGCCACAACTAAACTGAGGACAAAACACTGTGATTATGTACGCAGGACTGGTGTGTTAGAGCTCATGAGTGACTCATATTTTAATTAAAAATTAAAATTAAAATATGTGCATACAACGTAAATGTATATACAGTATATGTTACTGTCAGGAAAGATTTTCTTGCCATTTGCCATTTTCGTGTTTCTATTTGAGCAGTGTACCAGTGATAAAGTAGGTTAACTTGTCATGGAATGAATGTGGAAGCCATTAGTGCCATACTGTTGTTCGCATTTCTTGTCCTACTTTGCAGGATTGGATATATCTGCCCCCACAAGTTCACAAGAGCTGGCAATACCTAATGATGTAAGTGCCACATTGTTTGTGTTCTCCCAGCACAAAAACTTGTACAGATAATCCTCATGCTGTTTGATTTACCAAGACCATAGACCAAGACTTTGTGGGGTTGAGACCAAGACAAGACCAAGACTTTGAGGGGTTGAGACCAAGTCAAGACCAAGACTTTGTGGGGTTGAGACCAAGTCAAGACCAAGACTTTGTGGGGTTGAGACCAAGACAAGACCAAGACTTTGAGGGGTTGAGACCAAGACAAGACCAAGACTTTGAGGGGTTGAGACCAAGTCAAGACCAAGACTTTGAGGGGTTGAGACCAAGTCAAGACCAAGACTTTGAGGGGTTGAGACCAAGTCAAGACCAAGACCAGACCAGTGTGATTCCCACACCGCATGACATATACGATAAAATGTGGAACATGCAAAACTACTCAAATGAATCTGAAAGATCCACGTTCCCATAAAAACATCAACAGAAAACAAATTAAGATTCCTCTTCATTCACCTCTGGTGTTGCCATATGTACTGTATTTGTGTGTGTAGGTATACTATGAGAAGTGTCTTGATAAAATAATCAAAAGGCGATGCAGAGGTCAATTTTATCTGTGGGAATGTTCTTTTGTTTTCTGTGAGCAACCACAGTGACATGTTAAGAAATAAATCTAAGGCTTGTTGACACCTTGAGATTGCAAGGCAACTATAGACTCAAGTACTAGAATAGTCATTTATGCACTTTGGTATGGATTAAACAAGCACGATATAACATGCTAATAAGTAAGCTTTAGAGCTACGGCCAGACAGAGCGAGGCTAGCTGTTCCCCCCTGTTTCCAGTCTTTGAGCTAAGCTAAGCTAACCGGCTGCTGGCGGTAGCTTCGTATTTACAGACATGAAAGTGGTGTCAATATTTAACAAAGTGAATACGTTTATATATCATAAAGTTAAAGTAGCTAGTGCTATAGTGACAGGATTCACAGTATTGTTAGCTAACATTTCATGTAATCACACAGTTACAGTATGCTGTGTTAGTATTATGGGTATAATTTCTTTCTGCTGTTACATTAACACAGCTGGAAATGTGGTTTTCCTCTGTAGAAAACAACTGGCAGTGCGTGGCGCTACTATCGCCATGGCAGTTGCTTCCACATGCTGTTTTGAAATCAAATTCCTGAAAAAATTGAAAACATGACCTGTCCTGCCATTTACATGTTTCCACTCTCTCTCTCTCTCTCTAGTTTATTGGCTGCATAATTGGAAGACAAGGCAGCAAGATCAATGAGATTCGGCAGGTCTCTGGAGCTCACATCAAAATTGCCAGTGCCACTGATGGCTCACCCATGCGCCAAGTCACGATCACAGGCTCGCCGGCCAGCATCAGCGTCGCCCAGTACCTCATCAATGCCAGGTAAGACATTACACGGGGCACCCACATCAAGCAGGGCATCACATTGCGGCTTGATGATGAGACAGCCAAACACCAGAGCTATTGTGCTCAGAGTGAGGCCGGATTTGTTCCATCTCACTGCTCCGTTCTCTGTTGACTCTGCTTTTTAACACGTTCCTTCTTTGATACTTATGTTTTCTCCTCTCTCTCACCTCCCTTCTCCTTTGTCTCACCCATTCTCCCCCTTTTCATTTTCCACTGTCTCCTCTTAACCCCCTCACCATCTCAACTCCCCCTTCGAACGTCACCACCTGCAGCTTAGAGATGGCTAAATACACCATGCAGGCCGCTTCCTCTGCGACCCCAGTTGACCTCAACATGAGCTTCTCTCAGTCTGCTCCCAATGCCTCCACTGCTGCTACCTCTATGGCCGTCCTGGCGGCCTCATCCCAAGCCCCCACCATTAACGTCCACTCTCCCTCCACCCTACAAACCATCCAAAGCCCACATTACGCCGTCCCCATTTCCAGCCTGCTTGGCATGAAAACTCTCCTGGCTGTCCACCCAGCAGCCGCTTCCAGCCTAACTCATGGTTTATGCCCTTACACTGCAAAAATGTCGACCTCCGGCATGAAAAAATCAGATCGGCAGAAGTTCGCTCCCTATTGATGTCTGCTTTTTAAGTTGCGTCAGAGTAGCTGACTGGTAAGACATCGTTAAATGATTAAAAAAATAATTTGAAATTGAGTGTATATAGGCTACAAATAGCTTACACCAGTGTGTGTGAGTTTTGCCAGTGTAGCACTTGTCTTCCATAAATTGGGAGAATATTAGAAACAGACTGAAAGCATGGTAGTATCAAAACATGTCCTCAATAATTAAAACAGGCAGCAGAGGTGCACATTAACTCAGTATTATCTTGCAGACATGCTTAACAATTAATGTGGGTAACTCAGGCTTCAATTAGTATCCTAGAAAAAGCTATTTTTATTCAAATTGGTTCATTTTACAGAGCTTTATATGAAGACTTACTCCAGGAGAGGTATTTTCCATAATGCAAATATTGACTTAGTTTTCTATCTCTGTTATAGTTTACAATCTTATTTTTTGTTAGATAATGCAATGGAGCATCATAAGACGTGGTGTTTTGTTGCCAGCAGGCTGTTGAAATGTTTGTCTTGTACAGTAGAAGTCGGTGTGTTAAGTAATTTTCAACAAGGATTGTCAACTTAACCTTTCCTTCACTATAGGCTCTCCTCAGTGCTAACAGGCATGGGTGTTCTGTAGTAGCGTTGTGCTGTTGCAGTTCTGACGGGATTATCCTAAAGCCACATTGGATTCTAGTGGATTTCACTCTACGCAGTAATCCTGTAGAGCGGGACTGGCTGAACTAACTAATTTGTTGTTTTTGTACGCCAGCTTCTTTACTGTTTGTTTTCCAACCTGAACGACTGGAATGCTTCGACTTCCAGCATCTGAAATGGACGCTAAGCAATTATTGTGATAAATGTCTTATTCGTGTGTTTCTGGTGTGGGTCCGCCCCCAAACAATGCAGAGCTGTAATATTTGAAATGACTTTGGAATAAATGTGACTTTTTATGAATACAGATTGGTTGTTTTGTTCTAATTTTGTTGGTGAAGAAAACCTTTTACATTTGCGTTGATTACTCTGACTCCTAAATACAAACATCTACTCTGATGATTTATGCATTGTTTACTTTTAAGTGGTTTTGAACTTTAATTGTATATAAATCAGGACAACACATTACATTTAATAACTCAGAGAGCATTTCCTATGTTATTCTATTTTTCAACAAACAAAATATCTACTTAGTTAGGCTTGATATATACATGCAGTGGATAAGATATTTGAGCACCTACTCGGATATGAATTTCACATTTCATTGATGCAAGCCCTTGACATACAGTATAAGTGAACCTATAAACAAATCGACACAAATAAGGTTATATTTCCCCTGTGTTTCTGTCTGACCCGTATAAAACTAAAGACCAGACAGCCACAATAACATGACTCATACAACAAACAGATACTTTTCTACAAAGAGGAAATGTGCATCTACAGCCTGGACATGTAAAACATTAAACAGCAGTGATACTGAAATATGGAAAACAACAGAGAGCAGTAACGGCGGCCATTAGCAGTTGGCAACACACAGACTTTTAGAGGTTTTTGGCAGGTATACACACAAAGCTGCCCTAGCAACTTTCATGGTATTATGGATGCAGTTTGTTGATGGAAGAGAGCTCCTGCCCAAACAAACTTTTCGACCCGCACTCTCCTGAAAAACAGAAGCAAACTTGGACTGACCTCACAGTAAATATTCAACACACAAGTTGTTCTCATGGGTCCTGGGAAAGAACAACTTAACCTCCAGTTGTCCGCTCAAGCCTACTGCTAATGGGTAAGTCTGTCCCTCTGTGAATTTGACCCCCCCCCCCTCCTCCTCTTTTACCGGAACAACAAGGAGGTAGGCACTTCTGCTCTTCCTGATCCGTGGAGTACGGGTAGCGAGCCATGTGGGCCACTTCCATAGGAGGGCTCGGAATGCTGAAGTGGAGATAATCAATAGTTAATGGGAGCAGAAAATGTAATGACAGTGAAGGATGACATTTGAACCTGGGGGAAGGTGTAGCAGCAGAGAACAGTGCTGCATGTATGCTGATGGGTGCCCAGGGCAGTTATGAGTTCACAGCCAGCTTCTAATGCCATATTAATGATTTCCTTTTTTCAACCTGACACAGGCAGGAGTGAGGGGGCCGTTTTTTTTTGGAGCTTGCTGCCATCCCGCTGTTTTGAAAAAGCTATTTAGAGAAAAATAAGTAAAAAAATATATTTTGGGGGAGGGGGGGAGGGGGGGATTACTGCAGTACTCTAAAAATATTCCTCTGGGACAGACTACCATGTATGTGGTGTTTAATTGTATTTTCTGTTACTTTGTATATGGTATTCCTTCAGTAGTTTTTCACTATAGGCCAGTGTTGTCATATCACATTATACTGTATATGCTACTTTCTATACAATTTACAGTAAATATAGAATGTTTAGTGACTGTTATGGTAAAATGGTGGTTTATTGTTTTTGAAATCTACACTACTACTATGATAGTGGCTAGTTTTGAAGACTTGAAGCCCTCTTCTTATATTTGATTCTTATAGTATCTATGGGCTTGTTTCTTTGCAGGGAACTTAATACGTTATGCTGCAGGTTGTCTGTGTTTCTCGATATTTTCATGCAGGCCTGTAGACCGAGGTCATGTCCTCAGTACTTTTCATTTATTTGGGGAGTTTAGCAGTTGACCTTCACCCAGTGATGGAAGCAGTAGGCCTAAAAATATACCCCACTACATTACAAGTAGAAGTCATGCCAGTCCGTCAAGCTCCTGAAGTTCGCGGATGACACCACCCTCATTGGACTCATCTCTGGTGGGGATGAGTCCGCCTACAGGTGGGAGACTGACCATCTGGTGACCTGGTGCGGTCTGAACAACTTGGAGCTCAACGCTCGAAAGACAGTGGAGATGGTTGTGGATTTCCGGAAGATTGCAGCCCCACATGTCCCTATCACCCTGTGTGACTCTCCCGTCGACGCGGTGGAGTCCTTCCGCTTCCTGGGCTGGGACCTCAAGTGGGAGCTGAACACCAGCTCCATCACTAAAAAGGCTCAGCAGATGATGTACTTCCTGAGGCAGCTGAAGAAACTCAACCTGCCAAAGACAATGATGGGGCATTTCTACACATCCATCATTGAGTCCATCCTCTGCTCCTTCATCACAGTCTGGTACGCTGCAGCCACTGCCAAGGACAAGGGTAGGCTGCAGCGCATCATTCGCTCTGCCGAGAGGGTGATTGGCTGCAATCTGCCGTCCCTCCAGGACTTGTTCGCTTCAAGGTCCCTGAAGCGAGCAAGGAAGATTGTAGCCGACCCCTCTCACCCTGGACAAAAACTGTTTGTGCCACTTCCATCTGGTAGGAGGCTGAGGTCCATCAGGACCAAGACCTCACGCCACACGAACAGCTTCTTCCCGTCCGCAGTCGGGCTCATTAACAGAGCCCGGGTCCCCCACTGACTCTGTCACCCCAGGACAAATTCCCACCGGTCACTCCCCTGCATCCCTTCTATTACACTCGACACTTTACACTACACTTACATCTCACTTGTTTATAGTCCTGTCGTCTGTTCGTTGTTTATAGTCCTGTTATCTGTTCGTTTGTGCACTTCATTTTAGATTTCACTTTATTTTATATTTCATCTTTATTTTATATTTCATTTATTTTATATCTTACTTTATTTCATATTTCATATCTCTTGTAAATTTTAATATGTTTCTACTTGCACTGATTGTTGTTGATTGTTAAATGTTTGCACCTCCCGTCACGCCAAATTCCTTGTATGTTCAACATACATGGCAATAAACGGTTCTGATTCTGATTCTGATTCTGATGCATTCATAATGTTACCTTAGTAAGCAACATGTAGCTAAAGTAAGAGCAAAATAGCCACTACAGGTATGCAGGTAAACTGGTCTCTGTCAAAGTTATCATTTATATCATGATGTTGGATAATTGTTGCTGATTCTTCCTACTTGCTTTATAATGTTATAGCTGGCCATGGGTGACTTCCTTCTACTGTTATCTTATTACTATTGGGTGGTTTCACTGCGTCATATTATTTTTCTCAAATTTCTGACTCAACAACGGATGGTTTAACATGACATTTTGTAAAGACATTGGTCTTCAGAGGATGCATTCTAATGACAAGTACAGCTTCAGAGAGCCGCTGGCATGTTAACGCTTTCTTTATCTTTATCTGAAAAGTAACCTGTAGCTGCTGCCGTCAGATAAATGTAGCGAAGCAAGAAGGACACCATCTCCACATTAAACCCAGTAGAGCAGCGGTATAAAGAAGCCTTGCAGAAAATCAGCAAACTTGAAGTAGGCTCGGCCTCTAGACTTGTAGTACCTCAAAGAGTAGGCTGCCTTGTAAGTGGATTCCAGTGGGTCTATTTTTAGATGTAATATATTTAAGTTAACTACCATATTCAAGTTTTATTCTTGGCAGTGTAAAGAAGGCTTTGAAAGCTTTAATCGTGCAGGGCCATTGCGTGGATTTGGATTTAGATTGATGATCTGTCACCCTCTGATCATTCTGAGGGTGAATGATCATTATTTCTTCAGTTATTGTTAATCGGCTACAGCCTTCTCTGTTTCATACAGTTTTACTCCCCCTTTTTGTAGTAGGCTAATGTGCTTTAGTCTTTTCTCCACCGGCAACCAATGACTTAGTGACCAAACTCAGGGAAACGACTTCCTAATTCCAGATAAATAAGTAAAGTCGTTAATCACAGCAGTGCGTGAACCTCGTGAACCTCTCTAATTGACTGCCCGTTGTTCCTCGCTCATTTCAAACGGCCCCATCTAGCGGCCGCTCGGCCCCATTTATTAAATTATTTATTTTCTTTTTTGTTACCGTGAGAAATAAAGTGCCAGTGTGCAGCGGGGACGTCAGTAGCTGCCTGCGCGGCACACGCAGCGGCGGATCGCATGGAGACGGAGCGCTTTCACTCACTGTGGCGATGAAAGTTGAGCGCGACGCGCGGACGACCTGCGAGCATCCTCCGGAGGAAGCTGGGCATTTGACTCTGGCTTAACGAGCCTCATTTTCCAATCGCTTCACCATACATCAGTTGTTGCTGCGTTTCGACCCCGGCGCACAGACGGATAAAGGACAGACTCCGAGGATCACAGGTGAAATGATACCACTGTTGCTGTTTCAGGGGGGATGCGGCTTTTTAAATATTTTTTATATTTGTGCATGTGTCAATTTGATCGTTTGCTCAGGTTTCACGTCAACTTACTTTGCTGTGTGTTCTATTGGAATTGGCGTAATTCATGAAGATTTCACTCACTCAGAAAAAACACCAAAGGCACCATGCTTGCGTGGAAATGTAATCGCATCTATCACAAAAGGTGTTATATGCAAATGAGCTTGAGGCAGATTGTTCAAACCTGCAGGGAAAGGCTGTTGCACCTGTAGAGGCTACATGGGTATCTCTCTGTAAGTGCACTGTTTTGGTATTTTCATGTAAATGAGACTGAGGCTGCTCAAAGATGCATCACAGGGGTTTCAATGGCTGCACAAATACTCTGGCTGCTTACACACTCCAGGATGCAACATCCAGTCCACACAGCCCCAAACACATAAACACAATGTCTGTATCATCTCATAAATTCATAGTGCCCAGCAAAAACAGGTGGTTGAATTGATGACAGGGTGTGCTTTTATGAGAATAGCTGCTTGTTTTGCGGTGATAGTTATGATCACTATATTGGCATTTATTCACATTTTTTTAAATCTAAATGTCACAACATCTCTGACACTGTCATCATCATCATCATCTTTTCTTGTTCTGTCTAAAAATAAAATGAAAACAATCAAGCTTGTCTCCACACGTCTCCTGTTACATTTCCTGCTTCAGTCTTCTGCTCGCAGGGCTTTGTGTATGAGCAAATTCTCACCTTGTTCCACCGCACATAATCTTAAGATTATATGACAGTTTTGCAAGGGCTTGCCGGTTTT